CTCCAGTTATAGAGACGGCTCCGACAAAAAGAGCAGTGGCGGTTCTGCCCCAGTAGAGGTGACGACACCTGAATTGGCAAAAGCACGGAAGTAATCATACCCGACCTGACAGAAGCCTAGGAGTGAGTGCGCGAGGTGGTTATAAAAGGCTCTCTACCCCCCAAGAACATGGTATGCAAACTTTATGCTATCTGGTTTTATCTTGCCTTTGAAGGATTCTAACTTGAGCTTCAGAGCCTTTACACCGGGTTCCCCCCGAAGCTTCCTCATCTTCTCCGTTTTAGGTTCCCTGCTACTCAGTTTAGAGGCAAGGTCGTTGATAGCTAAGACCGACCGGATTGCGCATCATCAATTGGCGTCGTCTGTGGGAACGCTTCAAAAAGCCTCCCTCCAAACTCTCATAACCTCTTTTCTTCAAAAAAACCCAACACTCATGGCTTCTTCCAGCAACGCCGGACATGGCACGGAGACAAACACCATCGGGGAACAACTTCAAGTCCCCGTGGTGTGCGTTGGACAGTTCACCATCCCCCTTTCGGTGGATGGGATCCCCAGCTTGAATGCGCCACAAGCAGTGGCGCCCGTAAACCTTCTTGCCATGAGCATCCCCTTTCCTCCCCCTATTGAGACAACCTTTACTGAACCAACTGTCGTCCCCCTGGCAGCCAGCCAAAACCGGTTGGATGACCTGATGCAGTGCATGCGGGCAATGCAAGCATAAATGCAACAGTTCCAGCAACACCAGCTTCATCAGCACCAAGTATTGCACAACATCTCCCAGTATCACTATCAACAGCAGTTCCCCCAACTGCCGTTGAACCAACCACTACTTCCACCTCGGCACCCTGCTCCGAGGCCGGTTAAGGCCTCTCCACAGGATGGACGCCCCACCAGGGAAAGGCCTCCCGGCCCTAGAACCCCCCTAACAGCTAGGCCTCGTCCCCAGGCCGAAGAGAGAGAAAAATCATCCCCGCCTCGCAGCTCGCAGGCGGGTCAGGAACCTCGCCCGCAAGATTGGCACCTTGGCGCTCCAAGCCCGAGTTCCCGCTCACGGAAAACCGATTCGACGCCCTGGCAGTAGACTACCAGCATTCCGGGCCCATCGAGCTCGGCAACACGGAGGCCAGCAGCGCCAGTACCAGGCCCACTCAACAACGAAGGCGCCAGCGAAGTCGCCGAACTGCCACCCGTGTCCTGTCAGAGCTCAGAGGCAAGGAAGAGACGAGCTCGAACGAGGTAGGAGCTGCCCCGATTCTCTCAGTTCCTTCCCCCATCGCATCAGAACTCCTGGCGGTTCCCTTGCCCAGAGATTTCATGCTCTCCCACCTTTGGACAAATATGACGGGTCCTTCGACCCCAACGACCACGTTGACGCTTTCCAGTCCCAAATGCACCTCGCCAGGGACAGTGAGTCGTGCATGTGCGTGGCCTTCTCCACCACCTTCAGGGGGTAGCCTGCACTTGGTACAGGAACCTGGCCCCCGGGTCGATAAAGTGCTGGGCCCAGTTCGTGCAGGTCTTCACCGCACACTTTGTCACCAGCAAACGGTGCCCCAGAACAGAGGAAAGCATCTTCGGAGTAGTCCAGAGGGAAGGAGAATCCATCCGGGGCTACATCAAGCAATTCAATGAAGCATGCTTACAGATACCGCGGTTAGACCCCGCGGCGGCCAAGAGAGGAGTAAGGCACAAAGAGTTCAAATGGCACATGGTAGCTAACCAGCCCGCAACTGTGGCCGAATTCCTCAAGCTCGCAGACAAGTTCATGAGGACAGA